AACCCATTCCCTGCATCGCCTACAAGATAAAACCCCTCATCCTCCCCACCTCCACCCTGCTCCTGTCCTCATCACCCCGCTGCATTGAACACACATTAGGCAGACGGTGTCACGGCTGGCCAACTCCGTGCTTCTAACTCTCTTCTGGCCAATCTTTGGCTCCAACTCCATAGCGTAGCGTCGAAATAACTCACTAACCGCAGTAGCGAAGACTTTGCTTTTCGCCATGGGTCCCCTGGTGCTCAGGATCAACCGCAAAATGTTGAGTAGTTGTGGATGTTGGACACAGTTAATATTAGGCTTGCCAAGGTTGTAAAAAAAAGCCAAACAAATACGGTGTTTGCTTACATTTTGGACGTGGTATACTTAGATCAGGGCGGGCGCCATGGTGTGGGGTGCATGTCTGGAATGAGAGAGGAATCCACCACGTCAGAGAGGCTTCTAAAAGTGAGGTGTTACATCCTGTGGAGCTGTTTTGAGGCGTCCAAAACAGCTATATGTTCAAAGTTGAAATAAAACAGAGTAACGCATACACATAATATAATGATCAGAGAGTTCCCAAATGCATTTTTTTAGAGTGTAATGCAACAATCAGTGCATTGATTACTTTTGACTTGTACTTTGCCAGAAAAATGCTGTCTATAGGTTATGTTGTCGAGGGTCTATCGCCTGCTTGTCTCATAAAGTCTTACTGCCTTGTCAGAAAAGTATGGTTTAGGCTTCTCTTTTAAAAATGTATTCCATTCTTGAGGTCTAGTGAACCTTCTTGCTTGCTTGCCTGTTATTCGATCTCCAGGCAACACCTCTGAAGAGTCGTGCTATTAAAGGTGCACTATTGTTTTCCCCCTACAATATTTCTATTGCACAGAATAAAAAAGCTCTGGGGAATATTTAGAATTTAACTATTTTAAATAAGTGAAATTGCAGAAAGTCACACTCTTTGCTTTAAAGAAGAAGTATTACACTTTTTAATGTGAAATAAAAATGTGATCCTCCTGTAGGTGGTGGGCTACAGGATGATGGCTCCTCTGTCATTGAAGACATGGTGGGGGCTTCAGGCTTCAGGTGTCTTGCCCAGGGACACAACAACAGCAGACATCAGTGGGAGCTGATGACATGTGTCGTGTGATCAGTTGTGTTACCATTGGAAACGCCACCAATGAATAATATTGTATAATCTTTCTATAAAATAGCAGTGAAGCTCAACACATCAATCACTAAATGGAGAATTGTGGTGGGATAAAGTTATTTTCTTAGGGTCATTATCGTTACCCTGTATTGACTTGACTGTACTTTGTCTACTTTGTACTTCTCTGTACCATTGCCTGAAATAAATAAATACATAAAAATAAAATGAATGCCTGTAACTCCCTCCCTTCCACCAGAGGGGAGAAGATGTTTTCTTTTTTTTTTAGAATTAGAAATAATAAGCCCCCACTGAAAGATCAAGGCTATGCTCACACTCAGAGAGCAGCCGTCCTCCTGTGGACTCACCACCTGCAGAGGGTCAGTGAGGGGCTGGTGCTATGAGACTTGGGTGGCATCTCTGATTGCCACCCCCCTGACCCAGAAATGGATTAAAGGGTAGAAAATGGATGGATGGATAGAAATAATACCAGTTGCAAATACAGCCATGCAACTGTAAAGCATTACAATCATTATAATGTAATCTCACCTGAGAAATAGCCAAAACTCTGGCAATTAATTAGTGAAAGGCAGACAACTGCTCTGAGTGTGATCTCCTAGTGAGACAACAAAATCATGTTATTACAGGAAGATATCCAAACTTTTAGATAAGAGAAGCAGAGTTGGATGCATCTAAATACAACTACACGTCAGTTTTTGATGAGGAAACCATGTCTATTTTCCATAACATTTCTCATTAAAAGGCATAACTTTATAATTAGAGAGCCCCACTTAATGCTGATGTAAAACAATGTTATAAGAGCAACAAGTCTGCACGCTTCCATGTTCAGTCCGTCAGCAGAAACGCGCTTTTTGAGGGAGGGGAAATGGTGGCTCCGAGTGGAAAGAAAGAGCCTGAAGCCAATAGCCTCGAGTTGGGGAATGTTGTTATTCCACAACAATGGTCACATTAAAGGGATCACAGGCTCTGTTCAGACCACAGATCAAGTTAGCAATCAGCGGATTTTTTCCCCTTCAAGCAAAAATGGCCTCACTAGGCTGCTGAATCATCCGCATATTATAGACTCAGAACAGTAATTAGTTATTATTGTATCACCTAAAGTTACAACAGCAGATCCCTATGGAGACCTGTGTGTCTAATTTATTTGTCTAATTCGTTTTTAATGAGGTAAAAGAAATTTAAAGTCCTTCGAGACTACCGCTGTTGTGATTTAGAAATGAATGATTTAGAATCAAAACACACAAGAGTCACTGGTCTGAAAGAATTGTTCTAAAGATGTTCGAGACAGTAATCAAACTAATAAAAATAAAGTTAGGGACCCCAGCTTTAAATCAGCCTATTACCAACCATAGCCTATTTCTGTAAACCTATAAACACAAAAAATAAATAGCTCAATTTTGAGTATTTGGGATTTGCAAAAGCTATTATGAATTTATGGTTCCAATTTGTTTTCCACTCGTTTTATTGAGAAAACATTAACACATAAAATGCCCTTGTATTTTTCCCCATGGGCCGCAGAACATTAAACGTTGTGTGCTCTCGACTTGTCTATTGTACAATTTTTCTACAAACATGCAGCCGCTATCTCTCTCTCAAAAAAATAAATAAAAAATAACTCCTGTATGCGCCAATGAGCAATTTTTCTCTTCTAAATGAGCTGCGGAGTATAAAGACTCCGGGTGCATTAAGTGAACCGGCTGGCCACTTAGCGCAATAAAAGGAATCCCCTGCAGCTTCAAAACCATGTCCACGCTAATAAAACAAACTGTCAAACTGCAGGAGTGACCGAAGAGCAGGAGATTATATGTGCATAGTTGGTTGCTGGTTAGAGGTTGGGAGAGATTAGATCTTGGATTTCAGGTCAGAGCTGAATAGGTGTCATTTGTGAGTGTGCATTCTTTGCGTGTCGTATTTCTACGAAAGTGGGTGAATATTTGGATTAGTTGACATTTGAGGTTTAGAACTAGCAGGTGTACTTGCAATGTATGTGCAAGACTTTTGAAAATACTGCGCAATCTCGGCTGAGTACCTGTTCTACATTAAAGTAGAAATATGTAAGATTGTCACACACGTTGTCGGAGCGGCGCATGGAGCGCGCACATCGGGTCATATCTCCGAAACTGAGGACAACTAGTTGCCGAAAAGTAGAACACGGGCAACTGACTGAAACTGGAGACCGACTGATCATCTCCAGTTGTAAGAGCGCGCACATCGACCGATTTCGGCAACTGATCATCTCCCACCATCTCCTCTCAGTTGCCAAAAGCCGCCTTGCAACTAGTTGTCCCCAGTTTCTATGTCAATGTACGCTAGGCTTTAAGTACCTCACCTTAAAGAGTTTTGTGGTCTGTCACACCATAAATAGTCTTGCTTTGTGATTTGTATCGCAAAGTATTACTTAAACAAACAACTTTTTGTCTTTTTTACTGAAAATGTTTAAAGTTGTGACAGCAGCCAAAGTGTGTTTGGCTGCTGTCACAACTTTAAACATGATACTAAACTGATACTATTGATAGAATCAGCAGCTAAAGGAACTAGTTTTATGGATTGTATTGCTTACTCCAACTTTAATACTTACACATGGGAAGTCTCCTGTACCCCTAAAACTTTCAAGTTGGTAGTGTCTGACAAAATGCTCATTCTCCAGCCAGAAAATATTTGATGCACTGTTCAGAACCAAATGTTTCAAGCAGTGTGAAAACCTTTCATTATTATAAGGATGTCTTTGATGGAAACTTGACTTTGCCCTTACCTTTTTTTTGTTATTTCCTTTTTTGGTCACTCTGTGTTGAATCTGATTGTCTTTCTAATGAACTAATTTGATTTTTTAATTCAAACAATGAAAACATTTTCAAACAAAAATAAGAATTTTGACAATGTTCTTCCACATTATGGCAATTAATATGTCCTAAAGAGAGAAAGCTTCTGGATTTACTTCCTGTTTCATGCAGGTAACATGACAAAAGGCTTTAATTGGTCAGTACGTAAGTGATAGGTCATAAGGTCACATTGTGTTTTTGACCACTGTGGAAGGGCATGTTGTTTGAACATGCGTCGCTTTTGACCACAGGTAAGAAAAGGCTGTGTCATAATCAAGAGTCAAACTCAACTTTAGATGTATAGTCAAAGTTAGATTTGAAGTTAAGTATTCCAGCTTTATATAATCATACAAAGCATATTCAAATTGAGCAGGATGTTTTTTTTTATATAGATAAGTAGCCATCTTAGATTTCCATTGATTTGGATCCATGTGGAACTGACACATCCCCCCAGAGCTGTACAATGTTGTCACAAGAAAAGAAAAAAAACACTGCTGTTTTTTACAGCCCATCAATCAACTCACTCAAATGCCAAACAAATCAAATAAAACATTACTTGAAAATACTTGTCATCTAATTGCACAGCAGCTTAAATGTTTTCTCCTTTTTTTTTGCACACAGACAGAAGCAAGCAGTGGATGAGTGCTTCTTCACTTCAGTCGCTCTCACTCCGCCCCCTCAACACACGCCGCTACTTTCCACTGCGCAGGCATAGACACAAGGATTACATCCCAACTTTGCCTTTTCTCTTCCCTTGGAGAATATTTCGCATTTCGCTCCCTTTTCTGGATTCATGTCGCGCTGAAACTCATTCGGAACTATTTTGTGTTCGGCGTGCAAGCACAAGAGGAGATTTCTGTGATAGCAGACGGAATGTGAGGGCAGAGAGGAGCGCTGAAGAGAGAGGAGAGGATATGCTGCTGGCGAAAACTCAAAGGAGCGGATTTATGAATGGATATGTCCCGATGAAAGACGCCGGCGGGTATCCAGCTGGTCTGGTAAGTCTTATATATTTGCAACTATATTTACGCATGGAAGACATCCAAAGTTTTTATGCAAGTCGTCTGCTTGTGTCAGAATGAAGCAGGACATTTTCCATATTGCGATTACAAATTCAAAACTAAACATTTATACAGGCAAATATTTCTGTTCTGATATTCTGAAGTTTTGCATGGGTCTTTCCCTAATTCAAAATATGATGGGGATTTTCAGTATATGGGGCTGGACGGACCGTTGAAACGCACGTAAGGGCAAACAAGTCCTATAAATAGAGCATGCAATGGGAAAATCAGTCCTGTTAAGAATATGTAAAGTCAGATGGAATAGTTCCTTTGACTCGTGTCGGAATTACGCACGCACGATACATGATTTTCTCCCGTTTATAATGCCATTTTGAGTATGTTGGAGCAGAGACTTGTCAGGATGATTCGATTCTTGGACTATTACTACTGCAGTCCGTCCGTGGGAGAAGTATGAGGGGAAGGGAGACAGCGCCATCACTCGTAAAGTAGGCACACTGGGAGCGCTGCAGCCTGCCTCCGACCGCGCGTACAAGTTTTATTTTTCCATTCATGTATATTCGCATTGTATAGGCCTACGATACACATATACACAACAAAAAACACATATCCTTGTAGATCAAGAACGCAAATGAAGGAGAAAAAGCAATAGGAGAAAAAACTCAATAAATAAACACAAAAGTAATAGCGAAACTAGGTTGTAATTTCAACAACTTTTTATTTTCTACATGAATGATTATTTATTGGCAAGTTTATTTATATTGCACAGTTCATATAAGTCACCTCAAAGTTCTCATGTAATGTTTAAATTGGAGTCTAATTGGTTTATTCTGTGTCCAGTGTTTGGATCAGGAGGGAATTGGTGGCTAGTGATATGGATATCGTTAAAGAGAGTTCAAGATAATTACCATTAATGTTGGCTGAATGTACATCTGTAGTCAAAATAACAAATGGGTAATAACATTTTAGCTGAGCAAAGAAGTGAGAGAGAAAACTGAAACTATTGGCCTGTCTTGTGCCCCCTTGTTTAAAAAGAAAAGAGTTATTTCCATGATCGATTACAAAACGCGATTCTGACCTGTCACTGTGATAAGGCCTTCTCTCAAAACTTTAACATTGTAGTCTCTGAATAAAGTTGTATTCTAATAAGCAAACCATTCAGGCACTTAGGAGTCTGTAATGTGTTTTTGATGTGAATAGGTGCAGCCATGGAGCTTTAAAATGATTAAAATCAGATTGTTTATGGGAAGCCATGTCGCTGTATAGAAAGTGTTCTGGTCTGAATTCATGGGCTCAAAAAGGCATAACTTCTACTGAGGTGAGGTATCTAAAACAATTTAATTGGCTTGCTGTAAAGGCTATTTCTAATCACAAGGGAGGAGTACCCAACTTTATTGAGGTCATACATCTTATGATATCAGACCACAACATGTGTCTTCAGAAAACATGTTATCTCACACAGAGAGAGCTGCTGGTACTAAATATGTAACAGAGGTAAAAATACATACATGTGAAAAGGAATAGAAGTGTCTTAATTCTATTCTAGTCCTTTGTTTTTGGTTTCAACGCGAATTACTAAATAATAATAATTAATAAAAACTGTGAATAACATTGACTATAATATACGATATATATATATATACGATAATATACTTATGACCTTTCTTAAATATTTTTCCCAAGGGTCACATAACATTCTGAAAGTGTAAAATTGTCTGCTTCTCTGAGACACTCTAAACAGAATTCATGGAACGCTCTTACAACGTAAAACAAACCCCCTAATTTCAAACATACCGGCGTGTGTAGAAAGTAGAGCCCACGCGCGCATCCAGCAGGGCGGAGGGATACTTGGGCTTGTGTGTGCGCGCCTCGGCCCGCTCCGGTGGGAGAGCGAGAGCGAGGAGAGAAAGGCAGCAGCAGCTAGAGCCTCTCCGAGCAGCGCGCAGCAGTGTGGATGGAGTAACAGCAAAGAGCAGACACGGCCAGTCCGCTTAAAACTACCATGCCTACAATTGGACGACTCCAACTCAATGCTAAACCTCCTAACTCATGAAACTCCCTGCAGAAACGGTACGTGAAGCGTCCGTGATTTTTTTCCCCTCTCCAAAGCGCGACTATTACTATTACACGGGGGAAAAAGTTGAGGGAGCTTTTGTGAAGTGCCCGAGGAAGACGCAAGTGGAAGCTTGCTCTGACCAGGTTATGCGCACATATTTGAGTGGTTGACAGGGCTATTTTTTGTTAAAAAGACATGCATCATATCGTGCGTAATGGTGGTGACCAAATCTGTGCACCAGCTTTCGCAAAGAGTGAATGGATTCAGTTGGGGGATGGGGGTTGCCAAGAAAATGCGCCTATGAAAAGTTTATTTTGAATGCTTTTACCAACTCAAATCTATGTGTGAAGTTGCGTCGACGTCGTGTGAGTGCTTGGAATCTCCTCACTTCTTTGTGGTGTTTTTTTCCCTAATAAGTAGAAGTAACTACCAGTTTGTTACGGAAAGATACAATGGTGGCTCCCATGCGAGCAGATGGCTCTTTTGTACCTGCAGGCGATACTTTTCGATTCAAGGTGATCCGGGCTGGCTGGTGTTTAGTTTAGTCATTTATTAACCCGCAAAAAGCATGGAAAAACTAAACTAGTGCGCCCGTTTGGACACGCCAAAAGTAAATACTGTAGCGGGATAAAAGCAAAGTTTTATCTATTCTGACATAGCAACGTTTGGTTGTGTTTGCCTTTGTGGACTAGGGACACCCACATGCAATTACCTAGACGTTGTAAAACGCTTGTAAACGAGTGAGTGTGCTGTTTCTATCCATTTCCACTGACATTCAACTACTGAAGCGTTCATACATACGTGGGGATTTGCATATAGATTGGCACATGGAGTTATATCTTGATCTTATATCTCTGTTCAGAAAATGTGTAAAAAAGTTGTTTTTTTCTGGCTACAATCTTTAATATGTTTTGACAGCTACATTTGAAAGAATTTGCTCAAGTAGGGGTGAAACGTGATTTGTGTGGCACTAAATTATATCTTGCTTTTCACAAAATCACTTGGTGAAGGGAAAATTGTAAGCCTTTCAAATATTTTTTTCTAATGGCATGTATTTGTTTATGCAAGCAAACTATTCATTGGCAGAAGGGGAAAAAAAGTCATGTATCACCAGTGTAATACCAAAACAAACATGTCATAGTGTCACTTCAACTCTCCATGTGAACCTTGCAATCTAATCCACTTTAATTAATAAAAGAAAAAACATCTTAGTATTCTCATCAATCAATTTGATGTTTTGTGAAATTGGTTTCCACAGCATTTTGACATCTCACAATATGCAGACTTGATACTAATGCAGCTCCCATGCTTGTCATACTATATCCAGGCAGAGACCATTTCACCATTTATCAGCCTGAGCATCCTGACAAGACATTTAACAGGGACAATGGGGGAGAAATTGAGGCTTGCATCCGATTCGATCCTCGTCCCGTTTTCATTTATTGTCAAATGGATTTCCGCATCGCCATAAATTAAATTAGGGACATGTTATCTGGCTCCATAATGTCATTGCCTAGCTTTTATGTGGCTATTACAATCCAAGGCAGTGTAGGGGTAATGACGCACCTGGATGAATTCGCTTTACTGTTTTTGAGGTCAATTTAAATAGATTATGTAGTATATCAACATTATGCTGGCTTTAAAAATTAGCATATGCCATAATATTACCATATTTCACTATATTTTAAGTCTAAGGTAATGAGGGTATGTCACAAAATAATAAGTAAAACTAACCACAGATGACCTGGGTTTTTGACTATTTTTCATTCATTTCTGATCTGTCTGCCATATACTCAATATTGATATTTAGCAACTCTTTAAAAAAACGATATTTAAATATGTTTCCCACCTCTAAAACGTAATATGTAGATGTTTCCATTTGGCATGCCTGTGCACTTACAAGAGACTAACGGTCCACTTCCTTTTTCCCCAGGTGGTTGTGTGAAGACTGCGGTACGATAATGGGGAAGCACTTGGCCTGGCCGCTCGTGTTGCTCCTGCAGCTCGTCTGCGGGTGCTCCGGGGCCGCCTCCATGCACTTCACCTACTCTGTTTACAACACCACCATATACGAGAACTCTGCTGCTAAGACCTATTTGGAGAGCCACAACAAAATGGGAATCTACATCACAGACCCCACCTGGGAGATACGATACAAAATAATCGCCGGGGACAATGAGAACTTGTTCAAAGCTGAGGACCATGTATTGGGAGATTTCAGTTTTTTGCGAATAAGGACCAAAGGAGGCAGCACTGCTATTTTGAACCGCGAGGTGAAAGACCACTATGTGCTGACTGTGAAGGCGTCTGAGAGAAACACTAACTTAGAAAGTCGCACTAGAGTCATGGTACAAGTTTTGGACACTAATGATTTGAGGCCTTTGTTTTCGCCGACCTCCTACAGCATCTCTCTACCTGAAAACACAGCTATCCGCGCAAGTGTTGCAAAGGTCACAGCTACAGATGCGGACATCGGTACAAACGGCGAGTACTACTACAGCTTCAGAGAGTGGACGGATATGTTTGCGGTACACCCCACCAGCGGTGTGGTGACACTGACGGGTAAACTGGACTACTCCGAGACCAGGCTGTATGAGTTGGAGATTCTGGCAGTGGACAGAGGGATGAAACTATACGGCAGCAGTGGCTTCAGCAGCATGGCCAAACTTACTGTGAGAGTGGAGCAGGCAAATGAGCACGCGCCTGTGATTACCGCAGTGACTTTGGCCCCCTCAGATGCAGACCATGACCCAACATATGCAATCGTGACAGTAGAGGATAATGACTTTGGACCAAATGGAGAGATTGCATCACTTACTATAGTCGCTGGCGACCCCCTGCAGCAGTTCAAGGCTGTCAGAACCAGCCCTGGGAGCAAGGAGTATAAAATCAAAGCAGTCAAAGATGTAGATTGGGATAGTCAGCCATACGGATATAACCTTACTCTGCAGGCCAAGGACAAAGGAAACCCTCCTCAATTCTCTTCTGCTAAATTAGTGCACGTCACAACCGCACAGTTTAAATTTAACCCTCCTAATTTTGATCATGCTATTTACAGAGTTAACTTAAGTGAATTTGCCCCCCTCCACACACCTGTCACCATGGTAACAGCTGTGCCAAAGTATCTCCATCTTAAATATGCATTCAGACATAAATCCGACAAGAACAGATTTACTATCAACCCTGATACAGGTTTAATCAGTGTGGCAGGACCAATCAATGCCGATTCCACATCGCAGTTTGAGCTGGACGTGATCACCAGTGACAAAAAGGCATCCACAAAAGTCATTGTGGATGTGATTGATGTGAATAACAATGCTCCCGAGTTTCATCAGACATCCTACAAGGCCAGTGTTGATGAGAATGTAGCAGCAGGGACCAGCGTGTTGTCGGTCAAAGCCACAGACCTTGACAAAGGCGAGAACGGCTATGTGACCTACAGCATCACCAATCTAACTCCTCAACCATTCGTCATTGACTACTTCTCGGGTGTCATCAGTACCTCAGAGGTGCTAGATTATGAGTTAATGCCGAGGATTTACCACCTGAAAGTTAGAGCTTCTGACTGGGGAACCCCCTTTCGGAGAGAGGTGGAGGCTCCCGTCACCATCAACCTTAACAACCTCAACGACAATAAGCCTTTGTTTGAAAATGTTGATTGCGGAGTTACTGTGCCAAGGGACCACGGTGTGGGAGAGCAGGTTACTACAGTTTCTGCTATAGATGCAGACGAATTGCAGCTAGTGAGGTACTATATCAAAGCAGGAAACGACCTGGATTTATTTGAACTCAACCCGAACTCTGGGGTGCTCTCTCTGAAGCACCCGTTGAGCGAAGGGGAGGCAGCTAAAGTGTCCTTTCATAGTTTACAAATCATTGCCAGCGACGGAGAACATGACACGCAGCCAATGTACATGAATATTACTGTCATCACGGCACGGAAACCAGTCCAGTTAAAATGTGTTGAAACTGGCGTTGCCACTATGTTGGCAGAGAAGCTCCTCCAAGGCAGCAAAGTTCACACACAGAACGAGCCAGACGACTTTCCGGACATACACTCAATCAATCGGTACACGCCACAGTTTGGAGACTCCTTCCCCAGCGCTGTCGAGATCACAGAGGACCTCCTGGTAGGTGCTCGGATTGTGCATCTGAGTGCGACAGACTCAGACAGTGGCTTCAATGGGAAACTTGTGTATGCTATTTCAGGCGGAGACCCCGAAAGCAAGTTTATAGTTGAAATGGAAACCGGCTGGCTGCTGGTTTATTCCCCTCTTGACAGGGAAACCACTGACCATTACACTCTCAATATTACTGTTTATGATCTGGGAATACCACAGAAATCCTCATCCCGCCTTTTAGACGTGAAAATCCTAGACACAAATGATAATATCCCACATTTTTTGCAAAATTCATATTCTGTCGATATTAGCGAGAGCACACCTGTTGGAACGCAGATCATCCAGGTAGACTCTACTGACAAGGACAAAGGACCTAATGGAGTGGTGAAATACTCTATTCTGGGAGGGACCGATCATTTTGCCATCGACAAGGATACCGGAGTAGTTACTGTAACAAAGCCGCTTGACCGTGAGCTGCAATCTGTTTACGTTTTAAAAATTGCGGCACGTGACCAAGCAGTTTTTGAGCCTCAGTTGGTCTCCACTGTGCTGCTTAAGATTACTCTGGAAGACGTTAACGATAACCCTCCCAAATTTGTACCCCCAAATTATCGGGTCAAAGTGAGGGAAGATCTTCCAATTGGTACTGTAATCATGTGGCTGGAAGCTCACGATCCTGATCTTGGTCCCTCGAGCCAAATTCGATACAGCCTGACTGACAATGCCGATGGGAATTTTGAAGTAGACAAAATTAGTGGGGCTGTGCGGATTGTGCAAAATCTAAATTATGAAACAAAGCAGGTCTACAACCTGACGGCAAAAGCTAAGGACAAAGGAAAGCCGATGTCCTTGTCATCAACGTGTTTCATTGAAATTGACGTTGTGGATGTAAATGAGAACCTATACAGACCATATTTCCGTTCCTTTGTGGATAGAGGATTTATAAAAGAGGACGCAATTGTGGGTACATCTGTCATGAGCGTGAAAGCAGAAGATGAGGACAGTGGACAAGATGGGGAAATTCGATACTCCATTCGTGACGGATCAGGCTTGGGAATATTCACCATTGATGAAGAAACTGGTGAGTACTTTTTTCCTCCCTGTGCTGAGTTGTGTGAATATGATACGTCTGTTTAGAGCAAAATTAGCATAAATTGAGGTTTTATTCAGCCATGATGATTTATTGTGTGTCACTGTGCAGAAAACAATAAGGTAAGATGATGCGTCAGGAGACAGCTAGAATTCCTGATTCCTGTCATTTTTCTTGTGAGGCGGAATTGCTTGTAAGAACAGATGGAGCAGCTGTCTCCTAGACCTTTGCAGACATTCCTAAGCAGTTGTTGTGGAAATGGGACACTGAGTGACTTCACCTATTCCTGCTCTAGCGCCACTTTAGAATGTTTCTACTTGAGTCCACTGCGAACCCTTTTACCGTTAGCCCAATAATGTGCTGATAGCTTTATTTGGGGCTTATCCTATTTTTTGCTGTACAAAATATGTTAATACTTCTTTCAGCTGACCCAAATGATTTTAACAGCTGACTCAAATTAACTCCAAACAGGCGGTCTGGAATTCCATGAGTTCCAACCCAAATCCAGCAATCACCTGATTTTAGTTTCTTTAGAACTGTCTGATTCCCTTTGCCTTTAAACTTAATAATCACATTCCCTGCCAGCTTAATGTGACTTTTTCCCAGTTAGGAATTAAATCCCCCCGTGCTGTATGCATATTTAATGTCTAAATGAGGCACTGAAAGAATGCATAATGCAGTAATTTCTCCTGGCACATGTAACCTCAGAGGTTCAAATCTACTTCTAAAAGTGAAAATCAGATTTATTATTAGACTACTGCTGACTTTTGCTGCTGTAGATGTTCTTTCTGTCTTAGGATGGTTTTTCTCTGTATGTTTAGGTATGTTACGTTATATAGCGCTTTTCATAGACAGGGACTCACAAAGCACTTTCTTAAACATTAAAATTCGTCCTCAAATGTATTGACGCAGTAGCCTTGGTGCTTTTTATCTGCTTTTGTGCGTCACAGACCAAAACAGTATAATACATGTCCTTTGATCTAAAAAGGACTGAGCTTATCATGTTCTTTGGGATCAAGGACCAAATGATACCATTATGAAAAGAGTCAAACGTATTATTATATTACACAATTATATTATTTGTGATTTAAAAGTCTATGTATTTCTCACCGGCATTATTGTTTCTATCATTTATCAGACCCATGAAAAAATAAATAGATTTTAGTGTAAAAAATAATCTTTGTTTTTGGTTGGTGACAAATGAGAAAAATGCTTAAACCTGCTTGATTCTCCACAACAGCATGCCTCTCTGTGATGTCCCTAAGCTCCGAAAGCAGTGTTATATCTGCATGATATTGATGGAGCAACAGCTTGGTAACATGTCTGGCTCAAAAAGTCAGCATAGGATAAAAATTCCTGAGAGCTGGGCTTGATCTTGCTCTTAATCCCAGAGGCCTATATTAAGCGATTATCAGGAGGTGCAATGATAGGATGGCCCCGGCTGGGTCCTGTTATTACGGATTACATCTGAGGTCAGTAGACAACTAAATACAGCTAAGGTGGTAGTGGCACTCCTAGGATTTCACTAGATGAAGGGTGCGGTTGCCCGGCACTTCACCAATATGACGTTTAGGGAGGAAAATATAAGTATGGGGGCCCCTCATTTGCCATATAGCTGCAGCTGCATGTTGTGAACCCCAACCAGAGCCTTTTAAGAGCTTCAAAATTAGAATACATGTCGGAGGGAAAAGGAACTGGGCCAGAAGCCACACACCTTCAAGTATGGATTTTGTTGTCCAAAGTGGGAAGAGAGCTTTTCCCATTTTGCTCGACTGTTTAATCCAAAGCCCGTGTATTGTCAAAGAAAATGCAAGGTAGTTGGAAACAGCACGGTTTCGTTGTCTCAGATGCCATGCAGAATCCCAATTCTCTTTGCTGTTGTTGTTTTTTTTTCAACAAAAAAAGGGGATTAGAAAAAAAAGACAGCATTACAACCCTGGCAACACATCGTGGTTTGAGCTGCATTGTATTGAGTTATATGACTACAATAGCGAAAGAGTAGTCAACAAAAAGGCCACAGAGTACCGATAATCATATTAAAGATTTGAAAGTCAAATTGTGGTAGAATGCCGGGCTGTAATTACAAATTTATTTGACATTCAATTGGGCGATTTTTCTTTTTATCAATTGGGACCGGGTAAGGTAGTTGTTTAAAGCCGTCTAAAGTGTTTTTTTAATTTAAATTTAACCAAGAGAAACAAAATATCATATTGATTGTTAAGAAATTATCTATTTTTAACAATTTCTTGACATTCAATTAATTGACAACTATTTAAATTATTGATTTGTTGCAATTTATCAATCAACCAAGTAATTTTAGACATTTAACGACTGGCTTGATAGGGCTGTAATATGAGTAAAAAGTAAAACATTATTTTTCTACCTCCCTCATATTTATTGCCATTTTGTCAATGTCATTTCAAGACTCATTGAAATAAATAGACATGGCTTTCCATATTTTGAAGAACACTGCTTACACTGACAAAGGATTCACTGCAGACCTCTCGACTGCTGCTTATAAACACCTTCTCATTTCCGTGTATTTCAAAGCCCAGAAATGCAGGCCACATCTTGTTGTCTTGACATGGTTCCTTTTCACAGAGTCTGCCGTGGGAGTCCATGGTAACTGTTTGCCCAGACATTCTCCTTGTTATTAAAAGCTCCGTGGTCTTTGGCTCTCTGCCGTCGTAATTTAAACATTATCTTATCTGGACCATTTCCAAGGACAGTATAGACTTGGACTGTTTCTCCAAAGCTTGAAAGAAAAGTTTAAAAGTTTAATTTGATTTTGAATGCAGTTGGATCAAGTATTAAGTTATGAGAGCAGACATCACTTAAACAGAAGCAATGAAGGATCCAAATGTACTGTGAACATGGTTTTCATATTAGTATGGAATAAACCTTATTGTCCTCAAGAGGCAACTGATCTTTGGCACAGTGCTACAAAGTTGAGTACAACAATAATAACGCAAAACCATCATGAATAAAAGATAGAACTATAGAGACATGTTGTAAAGTGTTAACGCAAAGTTGTTCGGGAGAACTTTGTGTGACTTTGCCAACATTTAGGGAGACCTTAGATGTTACTCTGTGTGATAGCCAACTATATCCTGACCAATTATTGTTTTGTTTTGTATTGGGAATAAAGCCATAAACACGTAGTTCCCCTTTTCACTATTATCACCAAAAAACAAGAAACAACAAAACAAACCAATTTGAACATTTCGATTTTGTTCAGTATCTAAAATGTGCATAGACTTAGAAATGAATACCATATTTACAAATACACCAACTACAGTAGCTAAAACACATATTCTCACAAGATAACAAACATTAGGCATATGCTTTATTGCCAGTGTAAGTGTCTTGTCCGCTTCCTTTGTCTGAAATGACTCAGGGATAAACCTTCATTGGGAACTTTGCATCTCTGCATTAATTGGGCCTTATATACTCACGTTCCTGCTTGCCTCCACTCGAGTCAGCACCGGATGATAGTGTGCCAGCCTCAAAGGGAATGAAGAAAGAGCCAGATTTACTGAAGGCATTTTCAAGGAGTTTTACGTAGGCAAGCTCCTTTAAGGTTGCAGGATGTATTCGCCTTCTGGAGGATTTAGGATTAAGGATTTCAGACTAATGTTCTAAGCTTTGGAATTTTTTCCTTTAGAGTTGCCATTAAAGAAGAATCTGTAAATTTGTTGAACAATTCAGTAGGGAGCAAACTGTGATTGTGGCATGATGTGGATGTATGAGAAAACATGTATTAATAAGCATCTGCATATAGAATGACAGTGTGGTGGTATGTAGTCCGTATTTGGAAGAACTCTGTATGTTGCCTTTACGTCTCCCCAATGCAACTGAGGCGTAGCTTACTTTGAGCATGTGTTCAAAGCAAGAGTTGCCTGCTTGAAGTAGAATTACCCAGGGTGCATGGTGACCAGACTAGACTGAGATAGTTCTCAATGAGTCGTAGAAGCTAATGTATGCAATGCCCTTTCTTTTTGCTAATATATGCATTGCCCTTTTACTTGAAACTGTTTGCGGCATGTGCTGTGAAAGCATCTATTGTTGAGCATAATGAAAGCATTTGATGCATACTGACAAAAAGTCTTTTCAATGTTTTCTATTAACACTTCATTCAAAAGTGTTCTCCTTTTGGGTAAACAAATAATGTGGTCCAAAAGGCTTGTAACAGCATGCCTTAATGTATGGTCATTTGCTGTCAGTGTATTTGTCTGAACGTAAGAATTGTTGCCTTGTTTCTCATTCCATTGCAAGTTCAAAAGATAAAAGAGCAACTGTCTGATTCTACATAGTCGTTGCTTGAGTGCTGTTACTGTGGAGATGAGACCTGGAATGTGCAGCGGGACACTGCTGATTGTAGGTTGCTAAATGGAAAGCACACTTTCTCCAGTTAAAAGTATGTTGTTCTTTCAGTCCATTAAATCTTTTAAAGGAAACAGTGAAGCCGCCTCAAGCAGGAGACTTACTACATCGTGTGCTAGTACTTGTCATGGTAATATTAATGATACTTTTACAATGTACACACAAAGAGGGAGCACTCTTCAAAGCTTTGCACTGTTGTCACGTCTTAATGCATTACATCTAGACGCGGATACAGCACGTGAAACCCTCAGGATGCAGAGTAAGAGCAGTTCAACATTGGGAAATGACACCTAAAGCTGGGGTAATAAACTTTAAAATCAAAAATAACAGAATTTTGTAATGTAATTCATTCACTCTCAACATTGGGTGCTATCATTAGTTTTTTTGGATCAGCTGTTTTAGGCAGGAAAAGTGAAAAAGGAAAGTCGACTCTCACTCAGCCATTCCGCTTTCAGCCTTAAGTGTCAAATAGTGCCCCCCAAAGCTTTTTTTTATAGGTTTGCAAAATAAAAGATGTTTGCAGTTAGATAAAGACAGTGAGCTGTGGTCTATATGTTCACAGCATTTTTTGTTCAAATTAGTTATGCAGTATCAAAGAAAAATTGTTA